TGACTCTAGGGATTTGAGCCAAGGGTGATTTTCCTTAATTTGCGACATTCATAACTCCCCTCTCCTAGTCAAAACTGCTGCCATTTTGGCATTGAATTTAAGGAAGAATTYGAATTTTGACTGTAATTTAAATCAAAATGTTTGAGAACAATMAAATCTATTTCAAATGCAAATGTAGTGGAGGTAGTCACAAAATTTATAATAGTAGTATCCTTGAATAGTAGTAGTAATAGTAGTCGAAACAATATTAAAAGCCTTTGCAGGAATTGTAATAGTAGTAAAATTAGTAGCAGTAGTTATAATAAAAGTAAAAATAGTAGCAGTAGTTGTAAAATCTGTTGCAGAAGTTGTAATAGTAGTAAAAATATTAGCAGTAGACCTAAAATAGTAGCAGTTGTAATAGTAGCATTTTACAAATCAGATAAAAATCGGAAAGGCTTTCGGTATAAAATTTAAMCGATTTTAATTCTTACTACTACTTTTAAAAGTAAATATGAAAAAAACATATAAATTCTATAACAATTTCCCAAAAAAATCTTCCACTCATGATTCATGAAATTTGTACTTCAAATAAGTCTTTTAGATTAAACATAAGCACACAAAAAATATATAATAATAATAWCATAAAATTCCAATGATAAGCGCGTGTGTGAAAAACTTAAGGAATCATAAATAATATAAACAATTTGTAGATTATGCTTCATTGATAATGGCAAGGCAGTTGGCAATAGCAGTGGGAATAAACTTTACTTTAAAGTTCTATAGCTGTACGATTTATAAAATATGATCTTATAAATAAGGTTCTTCAAATAGTTGCCATATTTACTCAGCTCTACAACACTTGTCTAAAATTTAAGAGCTTTACATTATTTGTAACNAGTAGACTTAAAATAGTAGCAGTTGTAATAGTAGCATTTTACAAATCAGATAAAAATCGGAAAGGCTTTCGGTATAAAATTTAACCGATTTTAATTCTTACTACTACTTTTAAAAGTAAATATGAAAAAAACATATAAATTCTATAACAATTTCCCAAAAAAATCTTCCACTCATGATTCATGAAATTTGTACTTCAAATAAGTCTTTTAGATTAAACATAAGCACACAAAAAATATATAATAATAATAWCATAAAATTCCAATGATAAGCGCGTGTGTGAAAAACTTAAGGAATCATAAATAATATAAACAATTTGTAGATTATGCTTCATTGATAATGGCAAGGCAGTTGGCAATAGCAGTGGGAATAAACTTTACTTTAAAGTTCTATAGCTGTACGATTTATAAAATATGATCTTATAAATAAGGTTCTTCAAATAGTTGCCATATTTACTCAGCTCTACAACACTTGTCTAAAATTTAAGAGCTTTACATTATTTGTAACCTTTAGCTTTTGCCCGCTCCAACAGGAAAATCCAATTACATTTGGAATATCCAATAGCTGCGCATGGCGAAAATTATGAACTATGAAATTCAGTCATTGCAATTTGCGCAGTCATTGAAGCACTTAACACACGGATTTTGATAAAAGAAACAAAAATGAACGAAATGAAAAGAAAACGAACATTTCCTTATCATCCGCCAGCCTGAAATGCAGTCGTAAGACAATATCATAAAAAGGCGCTCAGCTGCACATAAACTTTGAAATACTCTATTAATTAAATTACACAATATTGCGACGAGGCTTATCACGAATCAAATGATTATAGCAAAAAGTGGGTAAACGGGAAAAACCCCATTGCTATATATAATAATAATAGATTGCACCCTTAAAGGCTAGATAAAAATATAAATATACGAGCCTATAGAAAATTGAAAAATCAATGCACTAAAATATACCCTGTATTTTGGGTTCAATCATTATCCTCTTTTAATATAATATTCGCTTCCCATCATAATCGATATGTCGCCTATCGGATCGCATATGCCATCTCATATATTTTTCATGCGTTTCTTAGGTGTTGTTTATCAGAAACCACAAATTTGTTTAACAAAGCGCCACTCAACGCGCCATAAAAAATTCACCCTAGTCTAACAATGGAGCTGGCGGGAAAAAGGGGGAAACCCAACGGCAAAGAACAGCTGAAAGTAGCAGCAGAGGGCAAATATCTGTTGGGAAAAGCAAATAAATAACGGAACCAAGCTAAATGTAAACAATGAAAACGATGCGCAGAATTTAGGTAAACTTTTGCCACAACTCTGCCGGCAAATGGAAACTGGCAAATGGCAAATGGCAAATGGCAACAAGAGATGCAAAACTAGTTACCGTCTGCTCCGTGAACTAAATGCTGGCCAAACAGAGAGACAACAATGGCAGGTGATAGCGCGCAAGGTAGAGTCAAGAAAAACCAGTAGAAGAATGGCGTGCAGGTTGTGCTAGGAGCACCTGTCCCTTAACTGCGCACATATACATACATATACACACACATATATATCTATATATATGTGCAGCAAACGGTAAATGATAAACAAAACACAAGAAAGCAAAACAAAACAGACTGCAAATGGCACAGAGTGAAATGAAATGGAGCAAATCTTTTAGCGTGGGCGGCGGCAATTGATAATGCTGCCAGCCGGCGAACTGCGCTGCACAGACGACCGCCTCCCGCTGGGCGGGGCTGGGTGGTGTGGCGCAGTGTGGTATGGTGGGGCAGCGTTTTGGAAACAATTTGAAGGCCATAAAAGTTGATGTGGCGGCAGGCAGTTAAAGGAGACGAACGAACAACAAGAGGGCGTCGGGCGGGGCACGCTAAGAACTATGACAGCAATTGAGTAGTACAAGTCGAAGGCGAAGACAAGGCTTAGCTACTTGGATATAGACGGCGACGTNATAATAATTGCAGTTAATTAAATTTCAAAGAATTAATATAAATATCTGCTAGCTCAAATGAGCGCTCAAGAAATTCAAGCTCTTTTTACTGTTCCTGGCGACAGTGTCCGAGAACATAGAATATGCGATGTTTTCAACTTCGGCTACGTTCGTGGCGCTCTCTTCTTTTGCGGCTCTCTCGTATGCACTCGCTCACTCACTCACTCACTCATTCTGGTATCTTCGCTCGCAGTCTGACACTTGCCGCCCACTTGTCAGTTGGCATTCACTCATTCATAGCTAGACTGGCGGCCAGCACCTCCTCCCCGCGCCCACTCCAGTCCTCGGACGACTGCCATTGCCCATTGGCAACGAGACTTTGCCGCCGTCGCTGCTGCTGCCGCCGTCGACGACTGCAAAACGACGCTGCGGCATTTTGGCCACGGCTTTGGCTGTTCAGCGCTTGGCCATGTTTCAAGTGCTTCGACTGCGTTCAGTTTCAGTTCTGTGGCTGCAGCGGTAGCTACAAAACGGACGCTTCCAATTGGACAAACGGCAGACGACGCCGTTTCGCGCTCTCCGTCTCTGTCTCAGTCGATGTGTGTGTGTGTGTGCATTACGTTGTGTGCGCCAGCGGCTACGTAAAAGTTAAGCGAGTCGGGGTAAAGAATTATTCGAAGCGCGTTCTTTTTGGTGTGTGTTGAGTCGCTTCAATTTGTATTACGTATACGCCGCGTGCCAGTCAATCGTCATTTGCCTTTTGCTACTATTTGCACATTTGTCATTTGCCATTTGTTTGGGCAATATTCAGTTGATTTGTGTCACAAGGCTGGCAAAATATATGAGACAAATATGAAAATGTAAATGCCAAGCGGGCGMGGAACACAACAAATAGATAAAGCAACAACAGCGATAATAACAACAAAAGCAACTCGAGCAACAACAACAACAACAACAAATCAATGTCGATAAGGCGGCGCACGCGGCAAACAATTTGAAATTATTAGCAAAAAACAAAAACAGCAACAACAACAAAGTAGAAGGAAAAAATAATAATAAAAACCCCAAAGAAAAATACCGCAAAAAAAGTAGTAAAAATTCAATTGTAAATTTTTTCTGTGCTTTGTTCATTTCTACTTTGTTGGTATAGTTGTTGTTGTTCCTGTTGTTGTTGTTGCTCTTCACGTGATATACGCGGCCGTCTAAGATAAGCAAAAACGGTAAAAAAAAGTCAACAACAAATATATACAAGATAGATTGTTGAATCTTTGGACAGGCAAACGCGCAACATATGACTATATTTTATAAAAATGTAGTTTAGCAACTAAAGTGTTTTGATTACAGATAAAAAATATATACAAAAAACACAAACCAAAATAAAAACTATTTAAAACAATAATATTATTTACAGGTAAAATACAACTTCATGATTTGAATAACAATAATATTTAATAGTTGTTTATCTTTATACTTATGAAAATAAAACATATGTACATTTTGTTTGCCTATAAATATAATTAAATTAAATATGTTTTCTAGCTAATCTAATAATGTGAAATAATACCAGTTAATAAACACAATAATTTGGTTTAAAACCCAATTAGAACATTGCAGTCGGGCTTTACCGACTGCAGAGTACCTATTAACAGCTTAAACTCTATCAGATCCATTTTCCAATTTACGTCGAACTGGTTTGCATTCATACAAACAGACGGACAGCAGGACGGACATGGGACAAGCCCAATATACGAACGATTCACTTTCGTGAATGAGTATGAAAAAGCGACAGAATATAATTATTTACTGTTAT